GATAAAATTAGACCATCTGACCAGTCAACGGTTGACTGGTCAGATGGTCTAATTTTATCGAATAGGGCTCCTGGTCAAAGGCATGACTAAGACCGGGGGCTCAGGCGATAAGCAGGACCCAAGCAAGAGCATGGAACACGTTCTAGGAGAGCAGAAAGACTTCAAGGAAGTTGATTCTAGTCTGGTGCTGTTAATGCAGCGCCACGGGGGGGGCTGTCTCATGCTTCCAAAGTACCACTGCGAGTGTAACCCCATCGAACTTGTTTGGGGACGAGCGAAGGACTGGACTCGCAAGAATTGCACGTATTCGTTGGAATGCTTGCGCAAAAACGTGCCGCTGAGTTTTAGATCAGAGAAGGATAGGCAGGCTGTTTCAGTGGTCCAGGGCTACTGCAAGAAGGCATACACACACGCCCTCATGTACCGCGAGACGCGTGTGGAAGGGCCTGAAGGCAAGAAGACGTACAAGAAGTACAAGTCACACAGGCGCCCGACCCCGAAGGAATGGAGACAGTAGATGGATGGCGCATTCTTGTTCGTTGAGCGGAACTCTTTCAGTTTTTTTCCCTGTTTTTCTGGATGGAATGTTGTACAAAAGCGACGTGTTTGTTGAAAGCTGGCACATTTTTGCGACGGAAGTACGTTGGTGGGTGATATAGGTACGCTATAGGCGCGGCAGAGGCATTTGTGAAGTGGTTCAGGGTCTCCCGGTACACGTGTAGGTTTATNGGAATGCTTGCGCAAAAACGTGCCGCTGAGTTTTAGATCAGAGAAGGATAGGCAGGCTGTTTCAGTGGTCCAGGGCTACTGCAAGAAGGCATACACACACGCCCTCATGTACCGCGAGACGCGTGTGGAAGGGCCTGAAGGCAAGAAGACGTACAAGAAGTACAAGTCACACAGGCGCCCGACCCCGAAGGAATGGAGACAGTAGATGGATGGCGCATTCTTGTTCGTTGAGCGGAATTCTTTCAGTTTTTTCCCTGTTTTTCTGGATGGAATGTTGTACAAAAGCGACGTGTTTGTTGAAAGCTGGCACATTTTTGCGACGGAAGTACGTTGGTGGGTGATATAGGTACGCTATAGGCGCGGCAGAGGCATTTGTGAAGTGGTTCAGGGTCTCCCGGTACACGTGTAGGTTTATGGCGTGAAAAACAAAAATCTGGAGTACGAAAATATATGGGTGAAAAGTTTCTCTCGGGCCAAGGTCGGGGGTTCGAGACCCGCCGCGAGCACTTTTTTATTTATTTTTTTGTCTTTTCTCTGGCGACTCGCTACTCTTTTGCGCCATGCTACGGGCGTTCTGAAGCTGTCTTTTTTTTTTTATATAAATTCGATCTCAGTCAAAAGTTATGGAAAAACAACCAAAATCGGATCCTTGAAAATTACCACTTTAGCGCACACAACACAGCAAGCAGAGGAACCAGCATGCACTCATCATACCGCTAGTAGCGGATTCTGCCTCGCCCAAGGCTCGCCATCCCCTCGCTCCGTGTCGGGTGCGGTGATGAGGGAGCGCGACCGTTGGGTTTCCCGGCGGTGCAGCGATGCAGCTGGGGTTGATTTTTTTTCAACTTAAGGCTGCGCCGCTGCTGGCCTTCGCCAGGCAACGTGCGGCGGAATATTTTTTGGTGTCAATTTACCAACCGGTACCTATTTTCGTGTCAATTTGCCAACCGTGACTTTTTTTCGTGTCAATCTATCTCAGTCCAAAATTTTCGTGTCAATTTAACGTGGGAACCCAGGGATAGGTTGAGAGTTTTGTCCTAGATACACAGCAGTGAGTGAGTGANGCACACAACACAGCAAGCAGAGGAACCAGCATGCACTCATCATACCGCTAGTAGCGGATTCTGCCTCGCCCAAGGCTCGCCATCCCCTCGCTCCGTGTCGGGTGCGGTGATGAGGGAGCGCGACCGTTGGGTTTCCCGGCGGTGCAGCGATGCAGCTGGGGTTGATTTTTTTTCAACTTAAGGCTGCGCCGCTGCTGGCCTTCGCCAGGCAACGTGCGGCGGAATATTTTTTGGTGTCAATTTACCAACCGGTACCTATTTTCGTGTCAATTTGCCAACCGTGACTTTTTTTCGTGTCAATCTATCTCAGTCCAAAATTTTCGTGTCAATTTAACGTGGGAACCCAGGGATAGGTTGAGAGTTTTGTCCTAGATACACAGCAGTGAGTGAGTGAGTGAGTGGTAGAAGCCTGCGTGTAGAAGTCGAGCAGGGAGACTCTGAATACGTCAGAGAGATTGTCGGAATATTTACGGTGAAACTTTCTTAGGTTGTCCGAAAAGTCTCCGAGAGATCAGTGCAGCGAGAACTGGGGAGAACCCTGTTTTGACGTTTGTACGATTTTGTTTTTTGTTTTCGAGATGAGACACTAGCGCGCTCTCGCCCCCTTTGTACTCACTCCACTTTAGCACCATCAAAACCTGACGCGGGAGTCAGTCAGTAATCAAACATCTTTCTTTGCTTCTTCGTTCCGAGGCACACATCAAGTTGCACCCAAGTTGCACCTGCACTCGAAGTAAGTGTAGCCTCTGTGTAGGCTGCTGTACAACCACAGCTAGCTGCTGTACAACCACAGCCTACGAAGCGACCGCTGCACACAGCACACATCCGCTGCTGCAGACACGCGTATCCCCGAGATATTGCAGCAACACCGATCTTGGCCCCCCTCGCAAACGTTCAATGCTCTCCCACATGCGGTCTACCACGATGCTGGGGCGATCTTGGGTGTTTGATGTAGACTAGCCCACAACCGCGTGGGGACCGAATACCGTGCCTTTTCGCAGTCTGCAATCAACAGCGAAATACCCCATATATATACCGAAAGGGAAGGACGAGGTATGTATAAGTAGTCTACTGTAGACTAGACTAATACTACTGTAAGTCCATTTCCCTCTTTCGCGAATAGCGCCGGAGCAATAATAGACAAGGTCTAGACTTACGTCGATAAGTCAAACACCCCGTCTAGATACAGCAGCAGTAGAGAGGAACATAGACTACATGGAGGATGTCACAAAAACAGTTGGTATTCTGATACGTTAGCTGTCCTTGTCTCGACATGTTGACATGCCTTCGGAACTATAGACTAGTTGTAGCATAGCAATACGATGGGGAAGTATGGAAATACCCATCGCGAGTCGGCACAGGACGGGGAATAAGCCCCCTTGACGTGGAACCTATTCGTAAGAGGATGCGTATCCTATGGCGGCGGCTCGCTACTACTCCAAATGTACGGCGCGAACGGAACTGTACAAGTCATCACTCGCTTCTTCATCATGTTGTCGATCAATCTACGGTATGCAAGTTTCGCTGAGGCCCTGCTCTCCTAGCCCGGGCCATCAGCAAGAAGAGTGAGTGTGGTGACGAACAACAACAAAAGTACATCCATGGTTCAGTTGTTGTTGTTGTTGTTTCTCACATTAGCTCTATAGACTAGTCTAGTCCGCAAGAAATGGGGAGCCCGTGGTCTCAAAACCCGGCACATACGACGCCGCGGGGAAACACATTGAACGACATGCCATTAGTCTACACCACAAGGAATATATGTTCTCCCGCGCCGCACATGCCCCCATATATCACACACAAAAAGTAAGTTGATGACGAAAATATACACACACCCCGAGACGCGCTTGCTCCGCAACCACGCAAGGGTTCTACAATAGAACACCCGACAAACCGAGTTCCCCTAAATCTTCCGTCCACAACTTCCCAACATAACATACAGATAGATACACAAGATGACCACCAAACTGCCTTGATGAGCCTGTTACCCACAGGGGAGTTATCATTGTATGCTGTCTGGGAAACCGTAGACATACAGGTGTTCGTGGGTCTCCAAACATTGTTGTTGGATACATGTGCTGGGTGATTTTGTGTCACGCAGATTGGTAAGATTACCGTTTGGTAGGGGGCACCGCGATGATTCACGGGGCCCTCCTTGCTGTGGAAGCCTGGGAGCNCAGGGGAGTTATCATTGTATGCTGTCTGGGAAACCGTAGACATACAGGTGTTCGTGGGTCTCCAAACATTGTTGTTGGATACATGTGCTGGGTGATTTTGTGTCACGCAGATTGGTAAGATTACCGTTTGGTAGGGGGCACCGCGATGATTCACGGGGCCCTCCTTGCTGTGGAAGCCTGGGAGCTTTGAGCACTCCCTCTTTCGTCCGTGTGAAGGACGGTCGTCGACCTCTCGTGAAGTTAACACATCACCAAAACAGTCTCACCAGAAAAGTAAGTGGCGTAGGCCGCAAACACTCCAGAGTTTGCCCCTCGAGGGAAGCCACATCGGGATGAGCTCTGCTGGAGACGAAGAGCGCGCTGCTGCGAGCGGAGAACAGATCCGCCCGCCGGTGCAGGAGGGCCGCGACGCGGAGCTTGCAAGTTTGCAACGGCAGATTTCGCAATTGGCGGCCCTGGTGGAGGAGTCGGTGAAGAAGAAGGAGCCTGGCAGCGTCGTGGCGACTGCAGCTAGTAGTGGTGGCTGGGTTGCTGCCCCCAGAGGCCATCGAGAAGAGCCCACGCTGCCGCTCGTTGGTGGCGGGTGATTTCTCCAGCAGCAAACGAGAGGTAGTGGGCAAGGACCACGGCCGCTGCTGGAAGGCGGCTGGGCCAGCAGATCGGGAGCAAACCCTGTTGGACTAGCCGGAGTGGGCCCGGGCATAGGACCGGACTACGGGGGAGCGAGGGGGGTTAAACCCCCAGGTGAGATACCCGTGATTCGAGGAAATGGAGAATTCCTCGACGGCTACAGCAGTAGCCACATGAAGAGGTTGACAGTCAACGCCCCGCTTCTAGACGAAAAAAGCCGTAGCCACGGATTTGACTCGTGGCGCAAATCGTTCATCCAAGCTGCGAAGACCATCGACTTGTACGAGAAGTTCATAGGAGATGCAGAGAGCAGTATCCCCGTGGGCGACTCAAACCTGCCGTATACAAGGTCAAGCGCACACAGAAGTCCGAGCCAAAAGCCCAAAAGTGTTTTTACCTCGGTCCGGGAATCAACACCAACCGTGATTGCGTGCGCATCTTGAACGAAAAACGCCAAGAGATCACAACTCACAACTTCACCTGGCAACCCGTGCCCGCGGCCCCCGCAGCCCTGCCCCAGTCGCTGCCTCCCATCGCAGAGGAGGAAGAGGAATTCGCGACTGAGGAGGACGAGGTTGGGGAGGGAAGGTCGAGCCAAGGTGGAGGGAGGGCGGAGGGAGAACCTGTGGATGGAGGACCAGGTTTCACCCTTGGCACGACGGCAGTCCCGGGGCCTGCGGTGCCGCCCGCGCGCGTAGCGCCGGCGGCCCCACCGGCCGCGCCCCGGGAGTCGGGCGCGGGCGACACTGGCAATGGCGCACCCTCGAGCAGGGAGGGCGCGAGCGTCGCCCCATCTACCACGTCGACTGGCACGGCCGATGTGGGCGGCGGCGAGGACGACCGCCGCAGCAGCGGTAGCGGCGGCAGCGGTGGCAGCAGCGGCGATGACGGCGGCAGCGGCGGCAGCAGTGGCAGCGACAGCGAGACGGATCCCCCGGCGCTCAGTGGGCCAGAGGCCCGACGGCTCGCCCGCTTCGACAAGCCGACGGAACTCACCAGCCGCCGCACTAGGGAGAACCCTCGCCGAAATCCGAGGTACGAGTCGCCCCCGTCGCCGACAAGTGCCGAAGCCCTGCTCGCCTCGGTGGCGAGCCTGCCCGTCAGCAGCACGGAGGAGTTCACCCGCTGGATGCTCTCGGCAGTACTTCACGTGGCGGAGGGGCTAGAGGCGAGGGTGGTGCGAGAGTTGCTGTCCGAGCGCGCGCAGGAGGCCCACGCTGCGCGCCAAGAGGCGGAGGATTTCCTGCTGGGTACGGTGGACCTCATGCTCAACTCGCCAGACGCCTTCGAGACGGCTCTGACGTCCCACGAGCAGAGTGAATCCCCCGTTGGC